CTCTGGTGCAAATTACTGACCTCTGTCATCATTTTAAGTGGGGGAACTTGCACAATCGGTGGCTGACTAAATACTTTTTTGCCCCACTGTATATATATGTATAGATTCGTTTTATAGATTCATTTTAGAATCCATGTTCATCATGGCATGCCTTTCTTAACTTATAACTTATATTTGAAGTTTCTGGTTACCCATTACTGATTATCTATCTCTCTGTATATCAGGCTCTCTTGTCATCTCATGACAGTGTTGCACAGTCAGACTATGAGCCTGTCTTACCCCCTCTGCCTGATGAAATACCAGAGGATGAGGAGGCAATGAGGATTGTGTGTCTTGTAAAGAACAACCAGCCTCTGGTAAGACATAAGCATTTTCCTCATAAATGTAAACTTTTGCTCAGAAATACAGTTTCGTTTGCAGTTCTTGAGTTTACACGAAGGACCTTATGTATATATTTCCTATGAGTATATATTCCTTTTTAAATTGTAAAAGAAGTAAAAGGAGTTAAAAATCCTGGTAGCTTTAGTGCAATCAGTCACCCATGTCAGGAATCCGTAGCAGGCAGAGGTGTACGTTTGTCTTTTCTCTTTTCAATTATAACTACTCAGAATAATTTGAACAAAAGGTCCTTTGAGAGTATGTGAATGAGTTGATGAATGAATCATTCAAGACCAGTGTTTCATCCAACAATAATTTTTTGATGACCTATTACTAGTATTTTTTTAACTGTCAGCTATAGAAACCTATAAATATACATAAATGTGTTTTTGTCATTTTTTGTCCTTGTTTTTTGTTTTAGATAAGCTAAGGTAGCTTAGCTTTCTATTTACATGGCGTTATTAGTCTCAATATCTATGTCGTCCAAAACTCTCTGAAAGAAAAATGACAAAAAACATTGCTTATAAGCACAATCCAGAGAGTGATTACATTTTCAAACAAACCAAACAAATTAGTAATATATTCCTGTAAGATAGGGATGCAGAAATGATCACTTTTGTTAAACAGAATCTATGAAGTCAACAAGATGGCTTGTTGACTTCATAGATTCGATGACAAATCTGAAGGTAGCCTTGCAAGGTGCCCTCAGATTAGTCATAAAGTAGTTAAGTCTTAAATTGCTTAAATATAAATTACATTATGTTAACTTTAAAATGTTCTAATAAACCCTAAAAACTCAAAGTTTCTCATCTTTCATTCATTAAGAGTGGAGAAGAGTGTAGAAGGAGTGTAGGAGAAATTCACAGCCGCTGGAGCAGCCTGCACCGCTTTACATTGGAACGCCTCATCCCTGCAAGAAGAGCTCAGTCAGGGGAGGAGCTCAGAGTGCCCGAAAGTGAAGCAAAGCTTCCCCTTGTTCATAAAGACGGCAGGTCCCACCCCTTTCTCCCTCGCTATGAATCCACAGGAAGTTGCTATTTGTGTTCACCAACTGTAAAACTTGGGAACAAAGGACTCAATCAGTCAGCTCCCTCTGTTTTGAACCCTGCTACCTGCACTGGTAAGAGGAGGAAGAACAGATGATGACAGTCCATACAATCACCAATCATCTGACCATTTTCATTTGATCATTCTTTGTCTGTATTTAAGCCATCAAATATAAAAAACAATGGCAACATATCATAGAAACGCAGGCCATCCATCAGTACCTTCACTAATCATAATCGAGGATTCATTCTTTCTTGTATCTAATCATTCTAGTATTTGGTACTTTCTGGGCAAATATTTTCATATGTCTAGCAATGGCAATGAAAGGCAACAACCACTTCATCTATCTTGGTGTCATTCCTCAGTGCAACTAAGTGTTCATTTCTTCATGAACCTGCCATCATCTGGCAGTCTATAAGTCTTTTGGGCTTTCCTGCCATTACATTTCTTTTCAGACATAGTTTGCTAATGTCTTTCTGTTCTCTTGAACTGCAAATTTATTTGGTGGTTCATTTTCAGAGGAACTCAAACCCAATGGGAAAGATGGTGCTTCAACCAGAGAGAGCAGTGATGACTACGCATACCCACCTCCTCCAATCCCAGCTTACAGTTTTAGCCTTCCCAACTCTCCTGTGTTGTACAAAAAAAATTCTACAGGAGGACAGTCAAAAAATATCCCCACACCTGGAAGGACCTCCTCTTGTCGTGGCATGAACCCTCTTAGATCTCGCACTGCTCCTTCTAGTCCTGCAGCTAGAAGGAGTACTCAGGAACAAGGGGTCAGCACTATCTCCAGAAGAGATGGTTGTCAAACCACTCAAACCAGACCTCATAACACACATCAGGAAGAGTCTTTAAATCATCCATTAATGTTCCACTACGCTACAGCTCCTCGTCACAATGAATACCAGAACATATCAAAACATAAACAAAATGCGCAGCAGCAGCAATCAAGACACCATAATCAGCCTGCTGAACTCAAGAAACAGTGCAGTGTGGAAGAGCTTAGGTCCACTGTTCAGATGGTGGCCAGCAGTATTGAACACAATAGTCAGGATGTACGCCAACTTGGTGAGAGGATGGTGGCAGCATCAGAGATGATCACAGACAGCGTGGAAGAGAACGCCCAGGCACTTAACCTGCTTGCCGAGGTGGTGGACAAGCTTCAGGGGCTAATCGTAACCAAAAAACACCTCGAGTCATCTCCTTCACAGACAAAGACACAACAATATCCACCCTCACCTCCTCCAAGGGTCTCCTCATTATCTCCAAAACTTGTCCGCAAATCTCCAATACCATACCCAGGCCCACTCTCACCATCTTCTTCCACTACTTTCTCCTCTTCTTCATCCACAAGTTCTTGTGCAGATGACTTTACAACATCTAGGAGTCCAACACAAATTAATGGTGGATCCAAAAGGATGGTGGCAGCTCCTCAGAGGGCAGGTAGGGGTGGTAATAATGGACAAGTGAGGTTCAACACTGGAACCATTTCAAGAGCTCCTCTGGAGGACCAACAAGACTGTAAGAGTACAGGCTGCTTAAAAACAAAGAAGAAGAAGAAGAAGAAAGAGTAACTAGACTAAAAACAAACCTTTTCATCTCTTTCCAGCATTTGTACTGGAAAAACTGTGACAGTGACAAAAATACCTAATGTTTTAGTCTAAAACGAATTATCAGCTACAACAACATATGGACTTTTTTTTTTTAATTTGAAGACTTTTTCAATTTTTCAAACAATCACTCAAAGGAACAAAAGCAAACAATATAAAGGTACAAAGCAATTTCTTTCTGTCTTATTTTCGTCATCTAGTCCAACTATTCTTAAAAAGTATGACAGCTTTCATTTTTTTCATCAGCTCTGATTTATTATTTTGGGTTCTTGACTATGATGGTCTGAATATATACATTGAGCAAAAAAAGAAGGAAAGTGTTTAGGGTTAAATTTATTTTTAATAATATTTGTTATGGATTATTTTGTACATGTCGAACTGCATTCATCTTGACTTATTGTTTGTATATTTACGTGGTATCTATTGCACATCAAATACAGCAATAAAACCCTGTGGAAACACCTAAGAAGTTTTACATTATTCCACATATAGAAACATCAAAATTAATTTTCATGAGCACTGTTTTAGCGCCTGGTTGGAGCTTATGTAATTGGCATTTTTTAAAATAATTTAGCATTTTCATTTCCCAAAACTATGGTAGCAAATTTGCAGGACTACTAAAGTTATCCTTAATTTTCATAAGCCCTTGCTACCAGTTTGCTTCTAGCAATGGCCTGTAGTGGACATGGTATTGTGTTGATAGTGTTTACCTTTAGAGTCCCCATGATATTTTGATGTAATGCAAAATGAGTTAATATCAAATGCCCAAGCATTAAAATATAAAGAAAAAAACCCTTTAGTTATCTATTTAACTTTGATCTACCACCAGCACTAAACTGTGTAGTTTTGAGTTGAATGTATGTTCAGCTGCTGGGTGTATTATGTTAGTGTGTATATTGATATTCCTCACAAAATGGCACAAAAATGGAAGGCCTTATAAAAAAAATAATAATAATAACTGGCGTACAAGAAGAGCTTTTACTTAATTTGCTGATGTTTTAATGAGGATCTCATGAAGAGAAAATGTGTTTAAACAAAGTATTTATTATTTACTTTTAAAATCGTGTACTTTTAAAAATTAATTTAGTCAAAATTTTCCATTTGCTAATCTTAGAAGACATTTTGCCTTTGCCTTAAGGTCTCTTGTCACTATTTTTGCTTGCTTTTTACTTTGTTGTTAAATTTTGAACAACTCTCTATCTGTTAGGGTGCAACTATAAGAAAGGATGAGGCGACGGGAGATATCTCTATTGCCCGGGTGATTCATGGAGGATTGGCTGACCGCAGTGGTATACAAGTATTTTAAGTGTGTGTGTGTGTGTGTGTGTGTGTGTGTGTGTGTGTGTGTGTGTGTGTGTGT